TTCCAAAAGCTCTTTAGATATTCTTTGCTACGTCATCACTTCTGAGAGTTTTGTTCTTATAACGGAAAGTGATTGCATTTTGAAGGCTGCTGACGAAAAAGCTGCGGACATGAACAAAGTTGCATATAGCTTACGCAACCTAATATCGACTCTGTTGGAGCATGCAACATGTAACATGCTACATGTAAGTGTTGTGTAACAGTTGGCCCACGTTTTAAAAGAAAGTTTGGCACGCATGTTACATATATTTTTTTAAAGCCACTAATGAGAAGCAGCAAAACAATGAGTTTCGCCGAAATTGCGTAGTAAACTACATTATTATCAAAGCTACTTGTATATTTAAATACATGAAAATTATTATGTGTGGCTGTGCACGCACGTGCGGTGGAACGATGTGCTTTAATCACAATCAGAAATAAGTATTTCAATTGGTTGGAAATTCATGTCTTCTCTGCTTATGCAAAATGGAATGAAATGTACGCTTAGTCACTTTCGCAGACTCTAGTCTAACTCTTTTACAAGTTCGAAGTAACTTGCGTTTGTGTGTGTGTTTATGCATAGATGTGTGTATATAATTTACCATAATACAGCAATAGTTTACCGATTCCGAATTTTATATACCTCCCATTTTTCATTTAAATGGTATATCTATGTATGTATATATACACATTTGCATATACATACATACGTGTACGAAGTGATGCATGCAATTGGGAAATGAATTCCTTATGAATGTTAATAATAAATCCCGATAATTTTTAAAAGAAGAGAAAAAATTTTAAGAAACTTCCTCTACTCAAACGGACTTAAACTATTTAGAGAATACAATAACAATAATAACAACTACTGCTTACCGAAGATTTACAAAGATTGAAATAATCGGTGAAGAAACTGAATTTGAAATCAAATGCCTAAGTAATGACACACAAACACCTACACCTATACATATACGCGAGTTTATGCGGAGCATTAAAATAAAAAAAAAATCTCACAACGTTACATAAATGATTTCATACAACACAATAACAATTAAGAGCCGTCTGCCTCATGAAAACATTGCCGTTTATTTTTCAATACTCGACGGGATGCGTCACATTGACATTCTTATATCGACGAACGTCATTTTGTTAACGACTTAATCGATTTAAACATGTCCGTCTGCCCACCCAGCTCCCTATTGATGCGTGTTCTATCTGGGGTAAACATGCTTCTGGCCTCATATGTGAAGATATCGGCTATGAATTTGGCAAAAATATTAGAATTTCTTGCACGTAGGGTCATGTTAAATCCGACGAATGACGTGTCTATGCATTACAGCGTACGCTGCCAAAAGCTTTGTTTTCAAAACCAAAAACAAAATCTCGTCTTTTGCTCGTAACGTTTAAGCACACAAAATTTTGCACGTAGATGATCCTACAGTGACTTTAGAAAGCCGAAAATGTAATCCACCTCGCCTATGCAATATGGAGTGATCGTATATAGAAAGACCTTCGACCTTCCTTTATGGGCGCGCTACTTAGCCAGTCCGCAGCCTTTTTGGGGGAAATTTTTAGATGTCAATGACAAATAATTGGGTCCAAACAACGAGACTTTCGATCTTTTTCGAGATTGCTTCAGCTTTTACTACAAACTTGCTTTTGCATAATTTCAACCCATTAAAAGTAATAAACTGTCGACTTGTCAGTCTGTTCGTATGTAGGTTTGCCAGCCTGTTGTTGTTGCCGGTCTACTATTTGTGCATTACCTGTTCTATCTGCTTGTTGGTCGCTCTATTTACCAGTTTGCCGTTTTGTTAATCTATTAATGTTTGTTGTTGTGACAATCTGTCAATCAACCCGCTTGTCACTTTATCGATGCATCAGTCTGTTCGATCTGCTCCTTTGTTGTTTCATGGGTTTCTTGACCTATCCATCTGTCAGTTTGACCGTTTGATCCGGTAACCCGTCAATTCGCCAAACTATCGATTTATTGTCTTAGTGATTTGTAAATTTCTCGATTTGACCGTTTGTCAGTTTTTTTATTTATCGCTTTGTCAATCTCCTCTGTCTCTGTTCCTCTGTCGTCAATCTGGCTCTTTTCTCTGTCTGCTTGAATATTCCCTTGCTACTGCTGCACTTGTACGGTTTTTTTCGGTGCTTTTTCTCAGTAGTTGGCATAGGAGGACAGAATCTTCGATTTTTTTATTAACAAATAAAATAATGGGCCAGAGCGCACCATTAAATCCCATACACAGCCCTGTAGATATTTAAAATGAGGCGTTATATGGGAAGCGGCCTGTAGGCTGAAGATAAGAAAACAAAATGGACAGACGCATAGGCAATCATAAATTGCAAACACGCTAGCGTAACAAATATCATCAAAATATCTCAAAAAGTAGGTCATGTGGGGCAGACAAGCTAACTCGATTCAAGAAGTAATTCAGAGTTGATCGGTATAATAAAGGGTGGGTCAACTCAAGTCCTTCTGACTTTTGCATACATTCGCAAAAACTGAATATAACACCTGTGGTGTAGAGTATAAAAATTTGAAATATAAACTTTAAGTAATGGATGGTCTAGAGCCGGGAAAACTATTTTTTTTTTAAATGAAGGTTTCGAAATGTTGCGCAACGAGGAAATAAACTATTTTGTTCTCTCAATTTTTATCATGGCTCTCATAAGAAAATAGAACGAAGATTCAAAGTTCGAGGATGCTGGATATTAATCCAATTTTTGTTAAAATGATAATAAACATTTATTAAAAATACTATTAAATTCTTTCATACCCAATGAACATGTATAACTCATACATAGGTAGTCATGTCCAATTCGCACTTTGAATTGTTAAAGGAAATTAAAACAATTGCATGGAAAATATTATGTCAACACTTACTTTCATCGTCAATCCACAACCTTATTTTAATATATAAAAATATTAAAGGCAATAGTTTTTCTTTTCGCCATATGTATTCGCTCCATATAGTTAATAAAATATAAAGTTCATACCACAAGTGTCTTGTTCTCTTCCGCCATTGCCAGTAAAATTCGATGTATATAGTGTTGTAGCAGTTGAACTGGAATCACTATCGGATCGATATCCACCATACGACGAACAGGTACGCCATCTATTGATTAATTTGGAAAGAGTTATTGTTGTCCTGCTATGATTTAGTATAAATTCGAACAGTTATCATTCGTTTCGTCTGATAAAATATAACCCATGTACATATACATAAGCATAACCCAAAAACGCACATATAATTTATTTCCGCTTTGGTTCGTTTCACCGCACGAAATGCAACGACATAGTTAATTTGTTTCATCATTTCATCGTCTTTTATATATTTTTGATACTTCAACAAAGAAATTCAGAGTAAAACGTCTATTCATCAGTGAGATTTTCCTTAATGTAAAAGAAACCCGCCAATATAAAACATACATCTCTGCGTATATTAGCTAACTAAGATCTGGCAGCATTTTTTTTACCGTTACAGGGACGTTATTAAACATATATTTAATTATTAAGAAACAAATTATTTTTAAAAAAACGGTGACACCGGAACCATTGCCATGAGGCTTCTTTAATCTAATGATCCTTGCAGCCGAAAAGGTTTTGATGCAAATTTGAATGTAAAGAAGAAAAAAAAAAAAAACGTTTAATCTTCATACCTTTATACTATGAACGTACGTAGAGGGTTTTAGAAAGCCTGAATTATGTGTGACTTCCTAGCATTTGATTGAAACAGCTCCGTCCTCGACTGAAAAAGAGTCAACCTCAGCAAAGTTTAAGTCCGATCCCAATAATAAGAATAAAACGTCAATGTGTCAACCCCAAAGGTAAAGTTATTCAATTTGAAATTTGGGTTTACATATAATATTATCTTATGAAGTATAAATATTCTGTATTTTCAATTTAAAATACTGCTTTAAAACCAAACATATAAGCAATTGTTTTCTTTTATTTAAAGGTGTCAGTAAAGTCCTTTGTGCTTCGTCTTTTAAACCCATTTTTTTAATCTTTAGTTCAATCACGCAATAATTGTACATTTATTGCTTACATAGCGATCTCATCATCTTGGCGTGGTATAAATCAAAAGTGCAAATCACGTAATTAATTAAATCAGATAATTAACCTTAAAATTTAACAGCGGTGATAATCAATTCTTCTTGTGCTTTTTTTCTTTTTGTTTTATTTGTAAAAAGTCGGCAAAGTTAGAGTCCCAACTCGCAAATAGGAATAACGACTCATTGTACTAGCCTCCTATGGCCTCTCGTTTTATTCACTTGCATAGAATATAACAGTTTGGTATAACGTTTTTCTAAGTTGGCAACATTGTATTTTGTTATAACAAATGTAGATTGGAAACGAGTTATACTTTGTTTACTCTGAGAGAAATTTCTTTGATTACTTGGCATCACTAGGAGTTCAGTTGGCATTGTTATTGTAAAATATTGTTTTGCTCAAGCCTTAGAAAGAGAGAAAGAAATAAAGAGGGAATCATCACTTTTTACCAAATATTGTGCTGGCATAAATATGCATATAAATCTAAACGTTTTCTCGATTTTTTTCAAAATTTCTTATTGCCAAAACTACGTAAATAAATATATATAAGTGTATATATATATATATATAATATATTAAACATGCAAATAATATGTTATTTGACATATTATATCGATAGCTTACAAGTGAAAATAAAGAGAAAAATTTTAATTTAGTTAAAACAAAGTTAATGAATGATGCAAAATGATTACATGAAATAACTATTAATTATTTGATGTGGTTGTATATAAAAATAAAATTTGATGAAATCAGAGTTAATTAATAAAAGCTATTCACTTTATATGAATTTAGTTTTTCAAAAGAGAAGATCGTTTTTGCCGTTGGTATTGATATTCGTATTTATGTTAGTGTTGGTGTTGGTGTCGTGTTGGTTGTACATTTCTTACTGTCAAATTCTTCTATTTTTAAAGAAGCAAGCAATAAACAAACAAAACGCACAGCAGAAAAGATTTTTATTTACATAAATCAGCAACCAGTGTAAACAAAAGATTTTATTATCGAATTTTTCAAAAAGATTCTATTTACAAATAATATCGTTCGTATGTGCGTGCATTCGTTTAAATGAAATAAAAGGCCTAGATAATAAATAAATGAAAGCTAGAAATAATTTTCATCGTCTTGTGGAATTTCTGTGCGCGATTTGTGCGATACATTTTCATTTCAAATAGTAGATAGATACATTTACATAAACGTACATATCGACATATAATACACACACACACACACACACACACACACACGCACGCACACATAAGTTTATATGTGAATCTGTTTAATTGGGTCTGGTAACGGGGGCAAGGGAAGTGATTACTTGTTTTCGACTGTAGTTTGCCTGTCTTGCCGTTGATCGTTGCTTGCAATCTGAATTAAACAAGAGGAATTTCCAAAAACAAAATTGGTTCGCCTGGTCGTTTGTTTATTGTTGGTTATTTACATCTTTTGCGACTGGTTAGTTAGTTCACTGGTCGGTTGAAAACTTTACAAAAAAGTCGACGGACCACTTTTGGCTTGAAACAAACAAACAAACCAACGACACTCACTAAGAAGAAGAAAAACAACAATGACTATTGCTACAGCCATAACAAGACTTCTAAAGCCGAGCAATTAAATTAGTTTTGGAAGTGACAAGGGAAGCGCGAGCACACGGTAGAAGTGAAGGAGAGTTAACGAGTTAACAAGACATAAACTGCACAAAACATTTCCTTACTTACACACACACACACACACACACACACACACACACACACGCATGCACGCACACTTGCTTACTCGTTATATTCGTATTGGGCTAAATAAAAAACTGTGGCAGACAATATTGATTGGAGGATACTTCTACTGTGTGCACTGTGCTTTATCTCGCGGTAAGGCAGAGGATAGTGCCAGAAATTTGCATATAACAAGGAAACTGGTTTTCACGTTTTTCGCTTGTTTGTGTTTTTTTATTTTGTATTTCGGACAATGAAAAGAGTAACAACATATAAACCCACCATAATTAGCAATGACGTGCAATGCTTACTAAAAAGTGTATTCGAAATTGTTCGGCTAACGATTAAATTGTGTTAAGCGTAAGCGTTGCTTTTCTTATTGCATTTATATTTGAATTGCTCTCCATTCGCGATAATACCTTTGACGAAAATAATGTTCACTTGGTATGTTCTTTTTGAAATGTTGCTCTTGATTGTTCCTATTTGCCGGACCGATTTCGCCTTGAGACAATGTGAACCCATTCGTATTGAAATGTGCCGAAACATTGGATACAATGAAACCTCGATGCCCAATTTAGTTGGGAATGAATTGCAGAGTGAAGTTGAGTACACGCTTCAAACGTTCTCGCCATTAATTGAGTATGTGTGCAGTTCGCAATTAAAATTGTTTCTTTGCGCCACATATGTGCCCATGTGTACACCTAAGGTAACGGAAGCAATAGGTCCTTGTCGTTCACTTTGCGAAAGTGTACGTGCACGATGCTATCCAGTTTTGCAAGGTTTCGGATTTCCATGGCCTCCGGCGTTAGATTGCAGTCTTTTCCCGAAAGAAAACAATCAAGAAACCATGTGCATGGAAGGACCAGGGGAAATTTTGGACGAACCCGCAAGTCTCGATCTGTATCCGGGCTTAACCAATGCGAAACAACCCACCGAAGCACCCAGCCTCGAATGTCCAGGTTTGTCGAAACTATACGTAAAATTGCATCGTTCGGGCCGATGCGCCCCGCTATGCGAAGCCGATATACTGTTCAATCAAAATGAAAAACATATTGCCGAGGTATGGACGCACACCTGGACGTATGCAGCCCTGGGCATAGCCATACCAGCAATTCTTTGTGTTATAATCGGTTCAGATTCTAAATCTAAACCGGAAATGAATAAAGACACGAAAGTGCTTAGTCCGGTTATGTGGTGTCATACAATGGTAGCAATTGGATGGACGGTACGCTTCGTAGCTGGCCGTACTGCTACGTCCTGCGGCTTTGATCCTCAGCTTCCCAATGTCTCGTTGCTCCTAATCGATGGTCTTTCCAACGTCATCTGTGCCACAACGTTCATACTGCGCTACTACTTTGGAATGGCTGCTTGTGCTTGGTACGTAAATGCCAGATTTTTTCTTTTTCGTTCCTTTAAGTTCTGCTTGCTAATCATGTCGATATAGAATTCTTGCAAGACTGTCTACAAGATTGCGTTGTTCTCGTTTTTCCAGGTGGGCCATTTTATGCATGGGATGGCATCGCGATGTGCGACGTCAAAGCCCAGACTCCCAAGGACATATAACCTTAGGGAGTATTTATTCGGCAAAGAGTGCCACCAAGTCGGGTCGCGCTTGCACAAATTCTAAACTAGAATCGAACATAACCGGAAGTACTTTGGCCCGATTTTTAGCTTGGGGCTTACCCGCATTTCAAACTGCCGCTGTTATCGTTGCTCGCATGGTGGATGCCGATGAATTGCTGGGTAAGCTTTATTGTTTACCGGAATAAACCTTAGATTACGAAAAAACTGTGCTTGCTATACAAGAAGAAAAACCAAGATTTCATTTAGAAAAGTCTATCAAAAAAAAACAAAAGAAAAAAACCCTAGTATTAGCAAAGTTCCCTAAGTGAAAAATATCCTTCAGAGAATGACTGCAGTCTTATCATTTTCTAATATTTTTCCACGAGTATATTGAGTTTGTGCCAATGTATGCAACGCTCAGAAGGACGGGAGATAAAGCCTCTCTTTATTACGCAGAACGATTCGCAATCACTTTCTGGATTGTCCTAAGTGTGTCTGTCCGTCTGTTTTGTTTTCTTGTCTCAAACATACACAAGTCACAAGTTTTCAAATATTTTGATACAATTGGATACACCGACATGTTTTGGCCCAAGGACGAACTCTATTGAAAATGGTTCGGATCGGACGATCTTTTCGACAACTTCCCATATAAAACTGTATTTTGAAAGCTCATTCTATGAATAACTATATTCAACACAATGGTGCGCCGCGTCCCAATGCAGTGTTTTAACTTGCCCTTTTTCCTAACACAGGGTTCGCTTAATAACTTCCTCTTCTTCTATCCGAAAAAAGTTGTTAAAAGAAAAAGTTGTTTTGTTTTTAGACTTTTTAGGCAATGGTTTACGCGTTTAACGAATATGAAATATTTGTGTGAATTTTTGGGCTTCTGAACAGTTCGTAGTATTTCGTATATTGATCTATCAATTTCGTGCAGGAGTGAAAAGCGCAAAAATTCGACGAGTATCGGATAAGAGAGGAGCTTAGATATTATTCAGAAAGAAGAAAACACACAATAATCCTTATTTAAATTTCAGGGGCTTGTTTCGTAGGCAACCAGTCAGATAAGGGCTTGCAGATATTAGTGGCCACCCCATTGTTTTGCTACTGGATTTTCGGTTCAATGAATTTGTCGTCTGGCTTTTTAGTTCATCGACGTAACAAAGATGTGTTGCAAAACGTCAACTGTCCATCATATCAAACCGTGTTACAAAAGAAGGCTAGAATACCGGGAGTATTTCTTTTTATCTACTGTATTCCATATGCCCTGCTGTTACTAGCCGTCATTTACGAGTTTGCGAACACTGACGTTTGGCTAAATTTGTCGCCCTACGTCACGTCCTCGTCGTCTACGAAACTTATTAGTATGCAAACCGGAACACCAATATGGCCGTTTTTAATGAAAACTTTCATGGAACTAATGCTTGGAATAACATGCTCTGCTTGGATTTTAGGCCCCAAAATATCGACTTTATACAAACGCCAAATGAATTTCCCACCTATTAAGCAACAGAATAATAATCCTGTAAGTATGCTGCACTTAATGATGAACACCAGCAATCACAACAGCCGAGCAGCGAATAAAGCTTGCAGTAATGCCTCATATCAATCGGTACGACAAATGCGACCGCATTCATCGTCTCCCATAAAGCAACAGCACTCTACCGGCGCGATATTTATGAATCATATGACAAACTATTCTTTAAGTCGCACGATGGTGCAGACGACCGGCACACGTTTCACTTTGCCAAACAAGTGCAGAACGAATAATCAATCGTCCCAACGGTACGGAGACGAAACAATTTTGTAAAAATCAATTTTCGCAGCTATTGTCGACTAACACAGCTATGATTGATAATACCTACCACCGGAATAGGAGGAGAAGATACAATCTTATTGTATGCTCGTCATTCTGTTTGTAATATTGTACTTTGCAAAAGCGCAAAAAAATCTCACTCGCGGACTTTGATTCTTTGGTTAAAATTTCTCATTGAAACGTTGAAACTTAACACCAATTGGAGCAATCGCACGTACTAATTAAAAGGAAAACTCTACTTAAACTTGAGCGGGACCGCTAAGAAAGAAAGGGTACAAATAAAAATTTTACGTGATTATGCTTGCGCGTCGAACAAAAGGGAAATTCTTCAAATCTTTTGCTTAATTTACCCGATGTACGTGTGTGTGTGTGTGTGTGTGTGTGTGTGTGTGTGTGTGTGCGTGGTAGGTAGTCAAGATTCGTCTCAAGGCGAATACGGTTTCCTTCCTTGGTTTATATTAACTTTTATATTCAAGTATATATATATGTATTTAACAATAAGACTGTGATATATGTATGCATCAATGTATGTTGTAGTATTTCTTCAATTCCTAAATAATTCATACAAATATTATTGTATGCGTTTTATTAAATATCTCTTACAAGAAGCTTAGCAAAGTGTACTTAATCTATTAATTTTATTTTTTATTTTTTTTTTTTTTTTTATATACACATATATGTCAAATGTATTTATAAATGCAACAAAGTACCGCTTGAATGTGCCATTAGCTTGTAAGTGGAAATTATATTTCTTCGTTTGTTTTTTGTTTTCATTTTCGCTTTTATTTTTATTATTATTATTATTATTTTTTTTCTACATTTACTTAACACTCAGGAGTTCTTTTCCTACACACTCGCTTATACAACTGTTGTATAACTGAAGTAAACTGTTACGCTGCATATCTAACTATATAGCATTTGTATTATCCGCTTCGTTTCATCAATTACAAATGTTTCCCTTATGTTATTCCTCTGACAAAAAAAAAAAAAAAAACAAAAAAAACAAAAAAAAAATGTAATTGTTTATTAAAAAAATTTTATTTACATATGTATATGTGTGTGTATGATTTTGCTTACATAAGTTTGTAATAAAAATGATAATATTGGCAAGGAAAACAATCGCAATGACATCAAGGAGAATAATTTCTTTGGTAAGTAAGTACGTATCCACTTATGAGTAGCTCAACTCAACTTAGCCACGCTGCGTCGATCTGAATAACTGGTAGTTGGAAGACGTCATGTCTCATGAACACGCTGGGTAGGGCAGAAGTTTCCACTCGAGCTGCAACAATGTGTCCTAGACAAACCTTGCAACAAGTGCCTAAAAAATGACATTTTCAGTCATAAGCCTTTGAACGTGTTTGGGTGAAGCAACAAGTGGGCAAAATTGGCCGTTAAAACCAAAACCGCGAATTAGGATATGATGGAGCAGCACCTCCTGTGACTGTGTTTGCTGGACTTCGACAGCAGATTTTTTCAAATAAACACCAAAAATAATGAATTTGGAAGATGAAGAATTTTGAGCGCTCCATAATTAGCGTCAGCGTAACCTGAGTAAATCAATAATATTAAATGGACCTGTTATTTTAGGCAGAGGAAAATCAAAATCATCAAATTCAAGTGCTATGTACCCTGGTATTTCCCATTTCTTTATCATTTTTATCTGTAGAAATCGCTGATCAAAATTTTTGCAAACACCTAGTAATAATAATAATAACAAATTCAAATAAATAGTTTTGTCATATTAAATAAGAACAATTCAGGTGAATGACTGCGTATGTATGAGAAGAATTGTTTTAAAAAAATGGCTGAACAATTTTTCTAAAATTATTTCAAATTAAAATATATGCCCACCCATACCAACAGTTTGTTTGTATATTTTAATTCTAAAGTAAAACTTATCTCTCTTATAGCATTATGCTTTAAGGTCTCTCCTTACTAACATTAGTCGGCCTATTAAAAACTCTTAGCTTTTTTTTTTCAATTTATTGCCACAACAACCAACCAACGCTATAACTCTCAACTTTTCTGGTTTTGCCACACGCCTATCGTGAACGTCCGCAAATAGTCGATTTTCAAAAATCGACGGACATAGGTATATGTACTGATGCTGTGATCGGTCACTAGCCATAAAAGAAAACAACGTATTTTCTTGTTATAGAGAGTCTTCGACTTTATTGATCGATATTTTTATCGATGATAGATATAGAATAAAAAAACGACGCCAATAACAATTTTCTTATAAAGCGAAATTGTTCAAAATTCCACTCATGCCACAAACCAAAAAATTCCTTGTGATCTGTGTTGACTTAATTGCGGTAATTATCTTAAAAATTGAATAATTGATTGAATGTTTTTATAATAAAAATTATCAGATAGCTTGATAACGTTTTTAAATTAAAAAGACGCACAGCTTCATTATTAAAAAGTAAATGTGGAAAAGTTCGAGCCGCCAAGAGACACTGGACAATAAATTCAAAAATAGCGAATGAAAGTTCATCGGATTCTTATCTAATCGACATTTATTCGACATTTATTCGGTATTAAAGCAGTACAGTGAGCCACGGCCCACCACCAAATACCATACATCATCTCGCTTAATACAATTTTATGCAAATATGGTGTTATATAGGAACTGGTCGAAAAAGTGGTCCGATCTGAACCATTATCAATAGCGTTTGTCCTTAAGCAAAAACATGTAAGTTTACCAAATTTCATCAAAATATCTCAAAAATTGCGATCTGCAAGTTGATTATAAAAAAACTACACGGACGAACGAACAAACGAGCAGATAAGCTTAAATCGAAACGAAATGGCGACCTGCAGATCGGACATAGACGAACAGAGAACCTTAGATCAACTCAGAAAATGATTCTGAATTGATTGGCATAATAAAAGTTGGATCTATCTCAAGTTCTTCTGAATGTTGTCTATATCGGCACAAACTCACCACAAACTTACACAAGAAGTGGTATAGGGCATCAAAACGAGAAGATTTATTCACATTCGGAATTTCCCATATGAGAGCATATAATTTCTGTCCACATAAAAATTTGCTTCACATTTTTTACAAAGAAAGTGAAAGTTTGGCAACCCCCTCGAATAATTCTTGATTTCCGTGCTTTATCTGGCCGTGCATTTTACACATCAAGGCAATCGATAAATAAAAATTGAAGGAGATATTTGTACGGTAAGTTCGAGAAGCACAGTTTCGAGATGGTTTTGGACGCTTCTATTCTATTCCTTACATTTGTACCGTTTATTATACCCATCACCGACGCATAAGCGATATACTCATTTTGTCAAGACGTTTGCAAAGCCCAGAAGGAAACTTCAGAGACCCCACAGTGTAAATATATTCTTGATCAGCATCAAATTCTGAATCGACTTAGGTATGTCCGTCCGTCCTTCTGTGGTGGCAAAAATGCAGCTAGCAACTTCACTTTGGCACAAACATTGGAAGGGTTGGTTTTGAAAGCGAGCCAAATCGGTCGGAGTGCACGCCCACAACACAACCTAAATTATTTTCCAAAAGAAATAAAAGGTGGTTTCTTTGCTCGTTACTCATAAACTGTAGCAGATAAATGTACAAAAATTTTAACGTATATTCTATGGACGATGCTAGAGAAATGGGAAAAATTGGCCACCTCTAATCAATAGTCTAATCAAATAGTGTATCAAAATTGAATTTTTTTTCAATACCATAATGAGGCGCAGGAACAAGTTTCAAAAGCACAATAAAGTATATAAATTCATGGGCGCTTTCAAATTTGGAGTGCACTTAAGCAAGTCCGTCTATTCGTTTGTCCATTTGTCCGTCTTGGCAATTGTGTAGTTTATGTGGTAAAAATTGCACTGTTAGCGAAAATTGACATGTCACCTAGAGATTTGTAAAAGTATTTGCAAGTGAACTAAACTTTTCAAAGGACATGCGTGAAATCGCCTCAAAATCTGATGACTCTACAAAACTAATCTTAACTTTGTTAAATTTCACATCTACAATATGGTAAATATTGATCAATCCAAATTTAGTTCACGTACTTATGTCCTTTCTTGTTTAACAGAACCGACAGATAATATTACGATTTGAAATGGAAATGGAAATATATATGATTCGCTTTAAGGCAACTGCAACTATTTTTCCCAAATACTTAAAAACGACTCAACAACTAAAAGTGGGCAACAAAAAAATATAAAAATAAAACAAATAAATAAAATGTGTTTTATTAATGAACGTAAACCGTCTGTAAATATAGTATTTGCATGTAGATGTGATAATGTTAGTGTAACTATTAAACAAAAAAAAAAAAAATTTAATAAATAAATAAATAAATACAAAATAAACAAATTAGAAAACTGAAGTGGAACTGATTTAAAAGTCTCTTTCGTTTGTTATATTAAAAATATTAATTAAGTCGAAAGAAAGAAAAAAAAAATAAATAAATAAATCAATAATGATAACAATAAAAATAATAATAATAATAATAATAATAATAATAATAATAAATACAACTATCACAGATTTGGCTCAATAAATTATCATTAAATATTGCAGGTAGATAAGAAGACTCAATTATAGATGCAGTGTAAGAAAAATACGAATGCATTCGAATTTCATAATCGACTGTAACGTTCTATGTGCTTTGTACACATTTATATACTATACATACACAGATACATATATTTGCAAAGACAAACACTTATGCATACTTAGGAGAGAATTTCTTTAGAATAAGTAATTGTGTAACTTTTGTGTTTATGTTAATTTAAGAGAGAAAAAGAAAATTTGTAATCGAACTAAAAAGCCGAAAATCATGAATAAAGATGAAACTTCCCAGAAATTTCCAAAACCAAGTTACAATCAGCATTTAACGGAAACTTATTACTTATTTACCAATGCCAAAAAAGAAGAAGACGAAGAAGGAAAGGAAAAAGAGGAAAGAGAAAAAAATAGGCAGATGGAAGTGGCTGTGTGCCCGACCGGTAACTGCTATGCTTTTAATGACTGAGCACTTCACACTACAACTACGACCAAAGGAAGCTCTACCGCATTTGAGATTTAAACGCACGAACAAGGCTCTTGCCCACTTGCCTCCTCAGGTGGATATAATAAATACGAAAACTTTATGCGGTTGCGGCCAAATTGTCTTCACTCACCCACCAACTAGAACTCAAGAAAAAAGAAAAACTCGAAGAAAATAAAACAAATAAGGAAACTATATTTTACACTTAAAAAAGGGCTAAAAAAGGAAGGAAAAGACCTAAACATTTACATTCTATAAACATGCTTCGACGCAATGGATTTTTTCTATTTTCAAAACAAAAGTAGAGATTTATATGGTCTATGGGTCGTATTTTATGAATACAACAATAAGCAAAAAAACAGGGAAAGCAATGATGTTCACAGTTTTTGTTACAAAGACTTGTGGGTATTGTAGACGCATCCTTTGAACTGTTTGGGTCATTTTCAAATTTTTTCGCAGGTTTATAAGCACTATCTTGCGAACCGAACAATGTTCACCACACATACTATACAGTTGCATATACAGTCAAATGAACAAATTAATGTACAAACATGCTTAGGTGCATTCCGAAATTGAAACTGGCCAAGAATTTATATATCTTCGGGGGTTTTGGAATCTTGCTTCTGTGCGTTATAAAAGTTAAAAAAAAAAAAGGATGAGTTTTTGATACAATATAAAATTGAGTAGGTGTGCCCGATTTTTTTCATTTTTATACAGCGTTGCCCATAGAATATACGGCCGAATTTCTGCAGTATTATCTGCCGTGGTTTATAAACAATGAGCAAAATATCAATTTTTTTATTCCTTTGAAAAAACGGATGTGTTCAGTTTACGTAGTATTTTGGGCGTGTTCTTCGAACGATTCGATCCATTTTCTATACCCAGCGGCGTGCGAGAGCTTCCAATGGTTTTGCCAAAATTAAGGTCTTTGAAAGCTTGAGCTGGGCTTTTGTCTAATAAGTCTTGCAATTTATTGTCTTTGAACTTTTTTGTCTTCCTGTTGGTTCCTTGTCATTCACATCAAAATATACACTTTGAAACCGCTGCAACCAAAATCGACAATTGGACTATGATGGAACAGCATCACCGTAAGTTTCTAAAAATGTCCGATGGGCTTTGGCAGCAAATTCCTTCATATTAAACAACAAAAATAATGAATGTCTGTGTAATTGAGAATTCGTAGAATGCAGAAGAGCCAGTTGCCCTACGAGATAAACCGAAAACATTATGTCCGGGCAAACACTATGTAGAATGCGCTACAAAATACAAAAAAATGCTCTAGATATGTAAAATAAATTAGACATTCAAGCTACCATAAAGCCCCTAAAATATCAAATTATAACATCTGGGCTTGTATTTGTAAATTTAATGTAATAAAACTGCTGCCTCTTCATACCTAATAGCGGAAATTTAATGTCTGTCAATTCGTTTTCTTCTATCACGCAATAAAAAATATATCAAACATGACATTATAAAAATTTGATGCAAGCCAAATGTAACATCCCTGTTATTTTATGGTTTTTTATTTGTTTACATATTCTGTCTCTCCGTACCAGCCTCCATTCTTAATTACACAAATGTGTAAAACTTGCAACAGTTTTCTGTAAATAGCGTAAGGAGTCGTTTTGCTGTTTAGGATTTAATTTGAAAAAGCATTTAGAAAGTAAAGCAAAATTGCTTATGTTCTTACACACTCTTTAAAATTTACTGGAAACATGTGATAGCAGCTTATAATCACATCCAGTTGTTTTTATAACACGTGCGTTTATCAAAAAATTTCAATCATATCGGAGCAGACGGACATAGGATTGTCGACGAATTTCTGAGATAAAGAAAGTTATAAATGAAAATTTAAGAGGTCTCCAGCTCTGCCGTTGAAAGGTGTAATTTTTACCAAACATCAAGTGATATTTTCTGTATAGAGAAGACAATGGAATCATTAAAATTCACTCAGCTGGCTGTGGGAGAATTCAAGCTAGACGCTTTAGCAGATTTTTGCTTAAGTGCTTTGGATAACTGCATTGCTATAGTAGGTTCCTCCACTGACTTTTACGTAATGGAAATGGTTAAAGATCGTTCTGCCAATATATCCTTACCATATCGTGTTAAATTTGCTAACATACCGCAAAAACGACCGTTTGCACCTTTGCTAAAGCCTTTAAGCCTAAGCCACATGTATGAGCATTCAAATACACAAGAAAGTCAAGAATTAGCTTTAGATGCAATTTATGTCAGTGAGTGCTCATTAGATCCGCCTAAAGCTCGTGTGCTGCAGGCGGAATGGATACCGAATCGGGTGCCGCCCACATGTACAGTACTCACGACTTATGGCGCTTGTGAACTATATGTGCAAACAAATATATCGCAGGAATGGCTACCAGTGAATACGAATTTGTTCAGTATTCTGCTTGAACATAAATTTCCCATTACTAAGACTCTCACGGACATCAGAAAGTTTGAGAAACTACGCGAATATATCAATTATTATTTAATAACTAGTTTTTGCTGGGATCATGCTGAGCATATCATTTATTTGGGAACTGCGGCCGGTTATATTATATCATTAAAATTTGACGAGTCCTTAATTGAATTCACAAAGCATATGCAGATAAAAACTACATTGGCAAAAATCACATATTTAACAAATTATAAAAATTTGTTATTAGCTTGTTGTGTGCAAGGAACCATAAAGTTATTTAAAATTGATCGTGAAAATGTAAATATTAAGGAGGTTGAATGTTTATGGAGTCGTAAAGATCGCATGACCTGTCGTAAGGCTTTTATTAGATTTAATCCATCACTAAATTCGTATATTGTTGTATTTTGCAAATCGGCACACATATTAGTTTATCGTTTAACAACGCAGGGGCTATTGCAGAGCAGTGCGTCTGCTTACGTAAATGGCATTAAAATAACTGGTCGGTAACTCAAATTCAATCAAAATATCAATTATTAATACGTTTTTTATATCTACTTCAGGTATTGAAGTGTTAAATGACATGGAATACATCATAACCACAATAGTTGGCCATATAAAATGCATACGTATATCGTGTCCTTCTTCAGAGGAACTTAAAATCGACGAAGATTTTATACAGCATAATTTTGATACTACGAATATGCAAATTTTAGGTATTTGTTGTTCTAAAAATCGATGCCTCTGGTCTGTAATGTTATTTCGTAATAAAGAATACTTACACAACTCGAAATATACGAATGCCACAGCGTTTCTTAACGTCGTTAAATTAAATAATCAAGATGCGCTTATACGTTTACGTAACGTGAATATTAAAATAATGGACGATGTACAAGATTTGATAATGACAATAGGTTTGGATATTTTCAACAATATGGAAATGGATAAATATAACGAATTTTTCAATATTGGACAAATTAAAATGCCGAAAATCCTTAATGACGCGTTCTTGCAGAAAATGCAAATAAAATTATTTATAACACGTAATGTAGCTAAACATCAGAGGTATGTAAAGCTGTTAATTACAATAATAATAATAGATATAAACGTAAGTGATTCGAAATTTTCAGACTTAAATTCCGAACATATAAAAGTCACACCTCGATAGAGTTAGACTTTTTGGAGCCAGCAGTGCAAAGTTTACATATCCTTTCACGTCTAGAGTACTTACAAGAATACCGAAAAGCTTCCACTCTTAGCAGTTTTCAGCAACTATCAATTGCTTGTATGCAAAACAAACTGCAATTTTTATTAAGCACTTTAAAGGACAACATAAATGAAGAGAATTCTTTCAGTGAGACCACAGAGAACTTCCTTAAAGCAGTCAACCAACACTTAAATGAGTGCAGTTTCGATTTAAGTGCCTTACATTACAAAAAAGAACATTGCAATGTGTGCAACGAAACAATTAACATGAATATATTTAATAAATGCTCTAAACAACATGTTATACAGAGATGTTCGGTATCTCAGACACAAGTTGGTTATCTTACATATCTTTCGTGAAGCTTTTCCAATATCTATAATCTATTTGCAGTTACCTCTATTTCAAAAATGTTATTGCCCACAATGTTATGCTTTGGCTTCAAGTTTGGAGAATCAGCTATTGAAAGAGTTGTTCGGTGGCCATGAGATGTTAAAGTGTACGTTTTGCAGATTTCTTCTCACAGAGGATACTTATTAACGTATTTTTTTCATAGTTCATGAAAACGTAAGGTGTTAGTAACGCAAATGTATAAAGAAATTTCGAAAATTTATCCGTAATGCATGAATTTTTTTTTAGAAAATTGTTATATATTGTTTACTTTTTTTTTCTTTTTTTATTATCAACAATCAGATTAATATTTATAAAAAATTCCTGTTTCCTTCCTTTATGATTCTAAAGATAGTTTCTTTAATTCTTTGTGCCGGGACGTTGTACACGTAATATATCACTTAACATTTTACCGGTTTTAGTACTGCGCTTATAAATTAGTTTGCTAGACTATCCCGGTTATATCTAAAAAGACTGGCTAAGCTTTCACCCAGATGATGACGAATGTTCAGTATTTCTATAGGTCCATTTGATGAGTATAATATTTGAACCATTTCATTGGTAATAAAATATTCTGCGTTATGGAAAATAAATTAAATTTTAGATTTTAACCAATGTAGATTTGAAAATTTTCGATTCATATCAATTAGAAAGAATATGATTTATATGTATCATGTAATATGGAATAACTTTTTTTTAATTACATTTGCGATACATGAGAGTGATTTTCTAAAATATACCGCAGCCACAAAAGACATCAGAAATATATCGCCCACAACGTCTGCAAATTTTTATGTCCGTGATTTTGGAATCGATTTGAACATGTCTGCTAGTGCTAAATTCCAAAGTCTTAACCAAAGATCTAAGCTTCACATACATGCCACTGTTGTTTTGCACCCTCTATTTTTACCCGAATTTGAAATAACACAGTTATTCTATGGGAAAAAATACACTTTTTTGCACAAATCTTCTATTTTGACATGAAACAAAAAAAAATTATTTTTAAATGTAATTTTGACAGTTTATACATGCACCAATAAAGTACAATTGCGGCCATACTGTGGTCAGAAGTGGGTCGAATTATGCCCACACATGTGCTAATAGCTAGGCGTTCTAAGGGGAATACCCGAATTTTATAATCATTCTTCATTTGAATTGACAGTCGTCCTAGACAAACCCGACATATCTACTGCTGGTAGCATTTGAACCAGCTCGTAATAAACATGCAGCTATGAATTGTTGCGCAAAGGGTTTTCATTCCTAATTAAAATTGTTGCACTTAAGGGCGGAATTTTCATTGTACACTAATTTTAGTTTGTTTCATATAGTAAAAATGAATGGTATTTCGCTTTACAAAAATGTAAAGAGATTTCATTACTTTTTTGCATGGTTTTTTGAAAAAGTATATAGAGTTTTTCATTTTACACTATTTTTTAAAGTTGTGGAATATATCACTAAATTTACGCTTGTATTTTTTTACAAGATTTGTTTTGCGCGGTTTCCTGAGTAATGTATCTACAAGAGTTCCTTGTATGTATATTAGTATGCAAATATGACTCCGCCTTCTTTTTTCCCTTACAATAAAACACATTTGCTTGTTTAAAAAATAAAATAATTATTTATTAAAAACACGACCCATCTGCAGCTACAATTGTCGTTCATCTTTCAATCAATATACGGATTGCTCATAAAGAGTACACCCAGTCTTTGGTGATCCAGTCGTTAAGTCAACTTGCGAATTCTCTGAATGGATTATAAAATGCGCGTACGGCGAGTGAGGCAACACTTCTTCGTCCTATCTTTTTAAGTAATTTCTCACATCATATGCAATATGTAGTTTTCCACTGCCCTCCTCTTTAGCTCGCTTCAAATATATTAGCTGTTCGTCGGTACATATCGCCATTGATACTTTCACCTGATTCTGGCCGTTCTTAACATACTACGGCTTTCTGATCGCATTAGATAGAGAGATTCTCATTATAAATACATTTTTCATCTCTATCGACTATTCGATGCAAAAAAAACTTTTCTTTGTTGCCTTTGAAGCACCATTTCATAAGCGGTTTTTGGACGTGCTTTGTCTGTTGCTCCTAATTTACTGTTTGCGAGTCCTTCGCAACACTTGAGCGATCAGCACTTCACGCCATAACGAATTTCAATGTTGAGAAGAATCCTCAGTCAATAATGATCACAATTCAACGTTGTCAAGTTTTCTGGTCAATGTAAAGATCATCCTTTTTAAGCGGTGAAAACACTTCTTTGCGAATTGTATTTGATTCTTCTTTCAAAGACATTTTCTTCATTGTTTACTTTAATAATCAATCAAAAATTCGGTTTGCTTATTGATTGATAATTTGTATTCTTGTTTTTCATGTAGTTGTTGCATACATTGCACCAATTATGTATGGATGGTGTTACTAAGCCTCATTTTCGAGGTTCGACCTTTCTAGCTATATGTATGCACAGGAGGCGCGAGAAACTCTATCCTACAATTGTTAAAACAGACATAAGTAAAATTGCTGATGTTTTGCGTTAATTTGGTTGTCCCATTTTGTTTACACAATGATTGCAAAGTGGCAGCACATTTATCATGAGATCTATTAAGTGGCAAAGCAGTGTAACGGAGATCTGTTAAATAACAGAGCAATCTGACTGATTACTGTTAAATAACGGAGCAATGTGACTGATTACTGCTAAATATATTTTTTATATTATTATATCATATCGTATATTTGTATCATAAAATAAGAAAATGAATGTAAATGAGAACAAGTTCCACATAGTTTGAGAAATAAATATAAGGAAATCTTAGTGTAAATAGATACAAGCACAATTGGCAAAAATCACGATTTCTTAAATTTGGCAACTTTGGGAAGTTCCATTTGCTTGTTTCGAGTTGCATTTATAAAAAGAAACTGAGCTGTTTACTTAAAAACAGCCGAAACAAAGCAAAAATATTAAATTTGTGAAAGATATAAGGTAAGGTAATTCTTTTTTTGCGTTTTACTCGTAATTTTATGTGTAATTAATATTTTTAATTCGCTTAAATTTATCGTTGTAATTATATAAAAATTTATAAACTAAATTTGTTTGCATTTTAGAAAAATTTATTATTTAAAAGCCTTCCCCAGCTCTGGGAATACAAGTGAAACTTAATTGCGTTAGCTTCCAACTGAGGGCTTTGGACCTTAGAAACAAACTAAAAATGATGTACTTTTGGCAACTCAGTTAATATTTAAAAAATGAACACGCCAAGGTGATAAACACAAAAAAATCAAACGTAAACAAATAGAATCGAATAGGGTGAATAACAAAAGAAAAGGGATTTCAGCTGCTGTGTTTAGGGTGACTACGATTAACTAACTACCTCGATTAGTCAAGGGAAAGGACTGCGATAAAAAGTAATCAAATTGAAAGTGTGTTTTTTTTCGAAAATATATATATATAGTTCGTGCATTGCCTTTTCATTTATATTTATTTGTAAAACTGACATAATATGCCTTTTGCGTTGTTTAATAAAGTGCGTGAATGCAGTAGTGAAGATCAGGTGAATAAAATAGATATTTGTATGAAATTTGTTTATCATTAATGGAACGCGAAATTTTGAGCAAATAGGTACATGTGGCGGCAAATCTGATAAAAGGGCAAGCAGGGAAAAAATGGAAAACTAAATTGGCGGGCGAAAAGCAAGCTTACGTCATTCTGGAAATGAAAGAAGCTCAACAAATTTGCGGCATTGATATCGGTAATGAGCATTCTGCATTTGTAGAAGTACTGGTCGGTAAGACAAGTTGTACTTCTACTGACTTCACGGTATATTTGTTTTCTCATTTGTTCATTAGCAACAAAATTATGTTTTTAATTCTTTAAGGAAATCTTAATAACGTGCTCATTTATGACACCAGTGGAAAGCAAAAATTCCACGAATATAAATCGGGTACGTTGCTTTAACCAGGACGCTTTAGTGCCGGCAGTAGCTAGTAGTAAGTGGTCATTAGTTAAGATTGTTTGCACGCAACCTTTCAATAGACATGTACAGTACGGTCTCGCCTTTATAAAAGTGCACCTGATTGACAATTCTACTGAAAAAAATATAAATTCTTCCAAGACATTAGTGCCCGAAAATTTCCTTATGCGACGATTGTCTAATGAAAACAAACTAAAGTCGCCAGCTGATGTAATCAGTCCATCGCAGATAGGAAAGTTTAAATTTCGCGAAGACTCGCCCGACTCTGGTAATGAAGTTGCATCGAGTCTTTTTAAACGTTGGAAAACGAGCAAGGAAGTTAATGGCTTTGGCGTGGAAACCACAGCTGCTGCCGCCATACGAAAGGCGTCAAACAACATAGTAAACTGCCAACGGCAAAGTATTGAAGATCAAAAGAAAGCCTCCACCACCAATTTACTAGATAGAAATCGGGATAACCTACTTTTTGGAGACAATGATGATGATGATGGGAATGTTAACGCATATGAAGTTGAGAAAAAAGCACGTTTAGCAAAGCATCTTCAGATTGACAAAGAAAGAAGACATTTGGAATTACAAAAAAGAGAACAAGAAAGCAAGTCTAGACGAAAGTGTGCGGAAAAAAATCCAATTACAGCCATTACAAAGGTTAAAGAAGAGGCAGGAAAAAATCATTCAACTGGGCCAGGGAATCAAGGAATGAAAACCAAGGACATCGGCAGAAAACGAAACAGTTCTCCCGTAAGTGGGCCCAGCAAAAAGTCAAAATTTACAACTGATGAAGGAATCAGGTATAAAGCGTTCAATCAATTATTTGATGGTATTGTTTTAGTTATTAGCGGCATACAAAATCCGGATCGCGCTGAATTGAGAAGAAAAGCAGTGACCTTGGGTGCTAAGTACAAAGCTGACTGGGATAATACCTGCACACATTTAATGTAAGTAATTCAGTCAGAAATTAATTGACGCTAAATTTTCTTCACCTGAATTTAATGGTTGCAGCTGCGCCTTTATCAATACTCCAAAATATAATCAAGTAAAAGGACGGGGAAGGATTGTAACTCGAAGCTGGATAGAAAAATGTTATGATTCGAAAAAATATCTGCCATGGCGGAGATTCGCGCTCGATAGCACGGAGTTAACCAAGCCCGAAAGTGATGAAGAGATTTTAGATGAAGCATTGCGACCCAAATGCAATACTCCTGGTGATAACGGTAATTATACAGAAACTTGAGAGCAATGAGTTCAATTAACAGGAATCTGAATTATTAGATTGTATTGCATCGATGGCCAAGCAATGTGGTGAATCCAATAATACCTTGGCTCTATATGATTTGGAAGATCAAATTGCTTCAAATAAATCATTAGAAAAATATTATAATTCCGATAGCGATACAGAAGACGAAATTGAACGAATTAAACAAAGTAAATGATTTCAATTAAGTAAAGAAAAATATTTACCCAGTCTTATATCCACCACCGAAAAACAAGGGGTGTACCTCCTCTTGTTTACACAAAAAACAAAATAACGCGTCAAACTGCCTATAGCGTGTATATATTCTTGATGACAGTAAAATTATTAGGCGACTTCGATTTGTCTATGTTACTGACTTAGCAAACAATAGCAAAAAGGAAAACGCACTGTATGTAATAACCTAATAATACTAATTTAATTGCGAAGATTGTCCCAATTGGCCCAAGTTCAATTTTCTTATGTATTTATGTGAAGTGGTGGATATAAAAGATCCGCTCTAAGCCAAGTGTAGCATTTTCTTTGACTTTGCAGGCAGTGCACCTTCCATTACTGTTGTGGCCAAAGAGGAAAGAGATGTCTATGACGTCACCACCGATGAGGAAGATTATTTACACGAGAAATTAAAAGAACTGGATTCGACAGGCTTTTTTAACCAGTCAAAATTTTTCATTTGCAACAATGTGGCCAGTGTAGATAAAATCAAGCTGATTAATATCATTGAGGAATATGCCGGCTGCGTAGCTCATAAATTATCCGATGCGCAATATGTTATAACGAATGAAGCTGTTGCTACATCTCATACATTTCAAGGCAAGATAGTACGTCCTCTCTGGGTCTACGAATGTCACGATTTGAAAACGAAATTGCCTACGCAACGTTACTTATTATAAAAATCGCAAATTAATAAACAAAAAGCAAAAAAGATATATATTTTTATTTGAATAAAAATGTATAGCTTTAATGCGATCTAAACCACACACTCATCATTGATACTGTCTATAAAAGTACATTTACTTATTCTTTCCCTACAAGAAGACAGACTAACAATATAACTGCAAAAAAGCTCATCAGGCATCAGCCTATCCCTATAAATTGGCAAACACATGAGTAAGAATGTAATCTCACAATTAATTGTTTTTAGCTGAAAACCATAGCATAGCTTTTCTTTTATTATTTTTAATGAAAGATTAATTATTGTTAACACTTTTTTAACATATTATATGTTCCTTGACAACCTCGGTCGAGACGATTTCATCTTTTGGTAGCACTTGACGTACTCGATGCATTTCGGACTTAATTAGCGAAAGCTTTGGATTTCCTAGAGTTAGCAATACTCAATACGTCCTTGCGTACATTTTCATATGGACATGAACGCTTATTAATACCTGAACATACGGCCTATTTGTTTAAACAATGTTTATTCCGTTTTTCGCTCTAATTGAAACCTTCTATACGAGATTTTAACTGCAAAGGTAATCACTTGAAATTCTGTCCGCTTATTAAATAAACATTTCTTTATCTAGGGTTCTTCTTCCCCCCTTAATTCTATAACCACAAAATCCTCGTCCACACGCGCACAGAGAAGATACAAAATCAGAATTCTACAGCGGATAATTTATTAATTGGATATTTTGTGTTTTTAAATGGTTGCTTGTTAAAACAGAGGTGCAAGTACAATGAAGGGTGATCATATGACGCTTGAGTGTTTTGCTAATTTCTCCAAAGACTTCTGACAAACAAATGGTTGTTTATCATTTAGAATTGATCGTTTCACACTCCTCTACAGGCGCTATTGCCGTCATTTGGGGTCACTAGTTTCGAAGTACTTCAAACTCGTGCAACTTTTGTAAAAATTCGTTCGTTCATCCTGACAAATCTTTACAGTTGACTGCCGTTTACTTCTCACCTCATTTGCACAGACACATGTTTTTTATTTGTTAGAAAATTATATGCGTATTTTTGAAGTACCTTTCCCAAGTGACAATACGATCATATTTTTGGGAATGTATTATGCGGAACCCAACGACAGCTTCTTCGCAGCTAAATGATTAGGTTGGTGAGACTAATGCCTAAGGTCGCCTTAATCACACCGTCATACCCACCTTGCGACATGTTTTTACACCAGCGTCGTTGTTGGAGGACCTCCACGACTTTCATCCGCGAGTGAATAGCGTTTACAATTGAACTCACACCAGCTCTACGCAGTAGCAAAAAATGGGACTACAGCCATAAAAATCAAAGTAAATTGATCGACGCACTTCTGTCTTGAAAACATGAAAATTTTCACGAGTTAATTTCCTTTTTCGTTGAGACACTCTCTTTTCAAGTCCCTCTCAATCACGGCTCAAGTTTAAACTACAAAAAATTTGTGAAAAAATATATGGTTAAAAAGATTTAACTTTACAATGGAAACATCGGATGACATCTAATACCTGCCGTCTTGGATAGCCCGTTACACAATTCGATTACCGATTACGAATATCATTGTGTTGTCAAATCTAAGAAAGCAGGAAAAGTCCTCCTTTCCTTTTTTATATATCTTATAGTCGCTTATAGTGTGTTTTGCAATTTTTTAATTTTATATATTGCGTATATAATTTTACACTTTCTCACACTCTATTAATGTCTTTCGTCGTACGCTTCTACACTATTTTACTGGCCGCATCTAACTACGCGTGTGAAGCGTTGCAAGAGCTAAAACCGTTTGGGAATATATTTTTCATTTGGAATCTGTTGTGCTTTTCCGCCTTTAGTGGTTTCCTAGTGTATTTGGCTGGGTAGCCAAGCGTTTTTCTAGCGATATGATTAGTAGTATAACTCCACGTGTCTGAATATATGAATTATTCTGACTTAAGTACTTCCAAGTATTATTATTTTTATTATTATTATTATTATTATTATTATTATAAATTTACCCATAGAATAAATGCTAAGACTAAAGTCTTAAAGCACTAGCATCTAAGGGTTTCGCCTTTATTAAAAACTCTAACGCACTTGAAATTTGAACTCACGACCATTGAGTTGCTCGTCGAGAACTTTCAAGTAATATTCGGGTTGATTAGCGTTAGGGAAACATGTATTTTTTGTTGTGGCCTAATGATCTTCTATCATGTTTCTTAAAAAAAAAAAAATAAATAAATTTTTCGCCTGATTGCGAATCTCGTGTCGGCCAATTTTGATATTTATAGTCTTCGATAACATTAAAATGCAATATTAAGTGATATCTGTGCTGTGTTTGCACTATGCTTGGCGATAACGATTGTCGATTTAAAGAGTTTCAATCACGGAGCAGACGAAATTTTGCAATAACAAAGCAATAGCATTATGCTTCTCAGAGCAGATTACTTTTCAAGTTAGTCCAGTGAAATCGTTTTAAACATGTAATGCGTGTAATGTAAATGCGAAAATATTATTATTCTTGAAAAGATATTCGAAAAGTGTTGAATCAAAGAATCGAATACGACGATGAAGTATAGTTACGCGATTGTGGCAAGGTGCGTGTATTTGTGACGCAGTTGTGGCAAAAGTTCCTCAGCTTTTTCGATGAGTTTGTAAACAACCTTGGATGAAGTGCGAAATTTCATTAGCTATGTGTTAATTTGTTAGGGCAGATAAAAAGAAATCATTGGTCTTAATATCCCGGCTTGTTCATTCCTCGACATGCTTTATGGAAATGTTAATTAGGCCATTGGGGCGTTGGTCGTTGGTCGTTGATTAATTTCGGCATATTGAATATTTTAACTTGCGTTCGCAATCGTACTGAGCAAAAGAAATGCAATTTCATTGTATGCAGTGAGACACTTTTGCGCCAAACTATATATGAATAGATTCGCACTCAATAAAATTCAATAAATGCATGTTGAACGACTTTAGTTGCAATTGAATTATCGTGGGTGCGAGAGTGTGATCATTAATAGCAATAGCGATAGAAATTAAATAAAATTCTTGTATATTCATTGAAATGTGCGTTGACGGCGTGATGATGTCTTCATTTTTCATATACGTATCCCCCTCCATAGGTGCGATTGAGGGCTGCTTGTGCATAAATTAAAAATAATTATTGAACTTGAAAGCTTATATTATTGGATTTACCTTTTCATATATGATAAATAAATTGCCCTTTACTGTTGATCATTGCCTGGAATAAATAAAAGGGCATTTTTAAACCCACAATTACGTTCAGAGGACGCAGCTTTCCCACGCTCTGAAAAACGCTTCAGAAAAATACTCTATTTTACGATTGGACTAAGTAGAGGATATATTGATTTTGATTTTGAAGCATTACGCTGGGCTTGCTACTGGTACAAAGCTCCCTCTCTCTCTTTCTCTTTCATTTATCCATATCTAGGTTATATTGAGCACATTATTATTTGAATTACTTTGCTCATCCGTGCAAACAAACTTGACCACTTCATTGGGATCAGATGAGACTGAGATCAATAATTGACGTTTAAGGAAATCACTTTACATTATATTTTCTTTTCTTTTTCCTATTGTACACGTGCTATCACTTTCTTCTCCTGTGGATTTAATTGCAACCTATGCCGTCTGTACGTGTTGCTATAGTAAAACTAGCCTGCAGAGCGATGTGACCACTCGATATTCAGCTGATCCTGTAGACACAAATATTAAACAGCCGCCGCAACAATAAACATTCGATTTCCTAGCTGATGAGGATTGTTATGTATGGTCATGGTCCGGCTTGTTGTTGTTTTTGCGATTCTTTTTTCGTTCTACCTAAACGGGAGACGGATTCCCACACTAAAAAGCAATGCTCAGCTGGTTACTTTCTCAGTTTTTCTACGTCACACCCTCTATGCTTCTGCCTTAAGCGCTTGTAAAGGATTTTTCGCCCAATATTACCCGTTTTTGTTTTTATGTCTTGCTTGTTTTGAAAAACGTATGAACCTACAAACACATGCTGCTTGAGGGAACTATCTATCTAAAATATATTTTGGCTTGAACTCGTTTTGTCAGCGCATGAAAATGGAACATAGTCAAAGCAAAGCGTAAGATCGTAGACATTGACTCAATATTTGTTTTTTTTTTGGATGTTGAGTTTAAATGTTAATTAAGTTAAATTAAGACTCAAACAAAATTTTTCTTAAATCATTGTACGTGCGTTCGCTGGGAATGGAAATTCAAGGCAATAGCAAGAGTTTGGAAAAATGAAAAGTTCGATCCTTATACTAGGACAATTCACAGTGTTGTGGCGGCTATCACGCGACTATACTCCATTGCTTATTGGCATCGTTTGCAAAATTTAACTAGGGTCGAATATAAGTAAATGCATGAAATATCGATGGCCAAATTACATATTATAAAAGAGTCTATTGTGCTTCTAGACTATTTTACTGGCCACAATTGCATACATAGACATAGACGTATATAACTTGGTACGTCAGCTGAAAATGGTTGGCACCATTGTTATTTGTTTGAAGCCTACAATTTTATTTACTTATAACTTACATATATATAATTGGGAGCCGATCATATGTAAATAATGTATTGTTGCAGAAGCTAAGCTCTTATTACGATTCCGACGAAATTGAGATGAAACTTGCCAAGTCTTATTTGGAAAATCAGTATGTCAAAGTCCGCCATTGTATTATGCGGCATTAATTCTGGTATACCGTAAGACACTACAATGGGACCTATCTCGTCTAGCACCTTCATCAATGGTTTAGCTACGTGCTGCCAAAGCTGTAATGTTCATTTCGGTATGCTCCTCCGCGGGGACTTGTCGACGATTTGATGCAACGAATTAATAAAGATTTAGGTCGTATCTCGCGTCGGCCTGTTGTTAATAATTTAAGGTTATAAAATATGATAATATTACCTAATGCTTATGATTCTGATTTGCTGCCTAGTGTTATATAATTGCAGTTGCAACAAGATGGCTATCCTCCATGTACGAATGCGGCCAACGTATATAGCAACCTTGACTATATTTCAAAAATCAGACTACAGTTGGTCGTTAAAGTTTTTAGACTCAGATCATCCAATGTTTGTTTTGATTTCGGATATGCGATCTTTATACTCGTACGCCAAAGTATCTATATGAGAAAGTCCATTTCGCCAGATTGGGGCGTAGAATGAATTTTCCGTATATTCCCGACTATAAATATTTACGATCGTCAGGACTATTATTTGCTAACGCTGTAAAGTTATGAAATTGTCTACCTACTAGTATCGAAGCTATTGTCAATGTGGATAGGGGCTCAGAACTATTATCAGGGTCTTCGCAGTGTTAGTGGTACAAAACTCTTTTTTAATTTTACTTGATCGTATTATTATTATTTATAAATTTAGCCAGAGAATAAATTCTAAGACTAATGTCTGTCTTAAAGCACTAGAAATCTAAGGCTTTCGGCTTTATTAAAAACTCTACCGCACTTGAGATTTGAACCCACGACCGTTGAATTGCTAGTCGAGACTCTTGCCTATTCAACCACTCAGACGGATCTACTTGATCGTAATTAATAACCGATTGAGTTGATCAACGATTAATTACTGATTAATATATTTTTAATAAAAAGCTTCAGATCGCCAAAGACTAAGTTTCGCAAAAACTCAGCAATACTGTGAACTTTATATTAATAATCGATTGAAAGACTTTGGCGAATTCGTAGTCTTGTAGCGCACGTAGTCTACGAACTTTCTACACTAGTAATCTAATTAAGATCTTTGATTTTGTTCTAATGATGATAATAATGATTGCATGACGCGTAACCTATTTCCTGCAGTCTGAAGTGAGCATACCATGAATGATTGCTGCAACTCCAGTTAAAACGTGTTCAAAATGATCTGCGTTGATTAAATATGAGCTAAGGGGGTTCGATTAGGTTGTGCAAGAAGATACGAATTTGCTGGATTTTTTTATATATGATTATAACACATTTACGATCAATAATTTAACGGTTAAAGTGTTTTCTGTCTCTTGTAGAATTTCAAATTCTCTAAAAGTGGACAAACCATGCGATCTAGAATTGGCTAAAGAGCAACACCGATCGTTTTGTAGCCTTTTACGCGAGATAGGTCTCGACGTTATTGAGTTACCGCCAGATGATGAACTGCCCGAGAGCGTCTTTGTAGAGACGTCCGCGATTATATGTAATGGAGTGGCGCTGATTGGCAAATCCGATAATCCGATGCGAAAGAAGGAGGTAAGTGTGCGTATTTTGCTAATAAACAAATGTACTCTTAAGTGATATATTTGTTTGTGTTTGTGTGCATGTATATCTGTTTGTTTATATGTTTTGGGTATGGGTGTTGGTATGTGGCTGTGTGCGTTTGTTAGGCGGATAGTATGGCTATAATATTAAAAAAAGAATTGGACATTCCAGTGGAACTGATTGATCATTCGAACGCACAATTGGATGGAGGCGATGTTTTATTCACAGGTGGGTTGCAAGAGATTTTAACCAAAAAAAAAAAGAAAACTATCACATAATGTTTAATATATTGTAGGGCGAGAATTTTTTGTAGGCATATCAAATTTTACCAACGAAGATGGTGCTAGAGCGGTGGCTATCACTTTTCCCGAATATCCGGTTACGCCTATCAAAGCAAGTGAACTACGATCTAAGATAAAAAAAATTCAATAACCAATTCGAAAGCTTTATTTGCAGGTTGGCGGGCCGCAACGTTTGAAATATTATATAACAATGGCTGGACCAGATGTGCTTTGCGTCAGCAATAGTACAATCTGTCAGGAAATTGTAAGACGCATGGAAAGAGAAGCTAGTTTTAAGTATCAAAAAATCACTTTACCCGAAGAGCACGCTGCAAATATGCTTTACATAAATGGTACTCTCGTCCATCGTACGCCTTCCGAAATACCTGCATCCTATAAAGTGGGTAATCAATTGAGAGAAACAAAATTTAATTCAATCGCTTATTATTTTTTTTTTTTCCGGTCTTCAGGTGATTAAAGAAAAAATAGACATTCCTACACGTAACATAGATATAAGCGCATTTACAAAATTTTCCAGCGGATTGACGTCGGCCTGTTTACTCTTGCGGCGGTGGAAGTCGATACGTAGATTATAGAATTACGGCAATCTGAAATTGGACTTTCAATTAAACCCTTAGCCGTGCTTTGCCGCTTACAGATCTGAATCTTATCGGTTATGTGTGTTTAGCTAATTCGAATTTACTCTTAATTTTTATATCCACCACCTAAACATTAAGATATATTATTTTTGTCCGTCCGTCGTTAATAAATTAAAAAGAGGGGTAAGAAACGAAGAGACAGAAGTATCAAAAATCATGATAAGCGCAAAAAATTCAAGTCGATAAAAGATTATCAAGTTTTGTCCGTTATGGAAGAGGAGAAATTGGTGCAGAAAGCTGAAGTCGAGACCATACATTACAATCGCAACGCTTTAATACATGTTGCTGCGCAAATTGGTGTAACGATAGGAAAAAGTTTGCATCCAGAGTCGCCGAAAGCTCTAACGTTGAAAAAAAACGGTCTTGAGAACCCCATTGTCAATTGTCCCCAATGCTTTTTTTTTTTTCTTTATAATATGACCAATCACTCAGGGGATTCCTGTAACACGGTGAGGATTAGAAACAGGTGAGGAAGGAGGGGTGATCACTTACTGTCGGTATATGATCAATCGGTAGTTGTTATGTCTTCACAGACCGATCTCACTCGCTATAGTTACGACCAAAGTAAACTCTACTGCATTTAGACTTGAGAACCCACGGACTTTGATTTGTTAGTCGCGATTCTTGCCTACTCTGCGACCCAATGCGGAATTAACGCACTAGTTAGGAGGGTGGTGGATCTCGCAACTGATTTGCTCAAAGGCGAATACAAATTTTTCATGTTTTTTTTTTTTTTTTTTTTTTTTTTTTTTTTTTCTAAATGTCTTTTATCTACATGTTAAATAGAACAAATGTTAATAATAAATTATAAAAAGTTACCTTTTTTTCTAAATACCAATCAATAATCTGAAATAGTTTAATTGTTTTTCCTTTTTTTTTTTAAATAAAACATTTTTTAAAATTTATTGAAACTAAGTTTTGTTTTCACATTTTTTTTTACTTGTTTTCCTTTTTTAGTTTAGGTAAATATATTTATGCCTACTTGTTATTGCATAATTATGTGTTTGCTTATTTTCTGTTTTTCTTTTTTATAGTTGTTTGTATTATTATTGTTTGCTTAAGTTTTTTATATAACTTATGGATTTCATGTTCTTATTGTTGATGTTGAGTTTGCAATGTATTATGAGTGGGGGAAAAGGGTTGGAAAGATAGAAGAGGGTGGACAGGATTAAGGTGAGTTATTAATTTAGTTCACATGGTATTTATTTTCATTAAATGCTATCATTATCATCATCATCATCATCATTAATAATAATAATAATAATAATAATAATAATAATAATAATAATAATAATAGTAATAATAACAACTATAACAATTTTTAACTTAACTATGGTAACACAAGTTTTTTTTTTTTCAAGATATTTCCTATAATTCATTAAATGACTTTATGCATAAGTAATCGGCCTTCATTCGAATGATGCCTATGTGGTGTCATAGAATCAATGCTTCAGCATTTTGTTTGAGTTATTTTCTATTTTTCTTTTATCTTTCTTCTCACTTTTTAGCGGTGCGGTTCGGAAGTTAATCGTTAATTACACTCATGTATATCACGTCTATCTGTGAGATTGGCTAATGAGCCAAGAAAGAAAAAGTGAAGGAAATAAGAGAGGAAGGAAAGACAGACAAAGCGAGAGACAGAGAGAGAGAGAGAGAGAGACAGAAAGAAAGAGAGAGAGAAAGGACATCATTCGATATGAACGAACCTCTGAACTCTGATTTCATTTTGGTTTTTCAACTTTTGTTTAGTTTTTTTTTTTTTTTTTGTATTATTACTAAGTTCTAATTATAGCATTTTTTTCTGTAGGCACCCTAATGTTTAAAGCTTTTTGCAGAACATTGTTTTTTTTTTTTTTTACTTTTTTAACATTTTCTTTTCTTTTTTTTTTCTTTTTTTCACAATTCAAGTTTCATAACTTCCGCTTTTAAGATTTATTTTTGTTTATATTTGTTTTTATTTATTTTTAATGTGTGTGTATCATCTGTGTTCGCTTAGTGTTTACAATTAGTTTAAATATAAATAACAATTCTTATTAATTTATTGACTTAATGTACAATTTTTAGTTGGTTTTGGTTTATGCATATAATTTAAATTTTGAATTTAACTTGGTTTGTTTAGCATTTATTTTTGAAATTCAATTTCTTTTCCGTTTGTTCGATTTTAAGACTTCAATTATTTCTCCCCTTTATCCTTATCGTTTATTTCTTTTAATTTCCTCATGCAATTGCGATTATTTAATTTTTTAATTGTATAATTTTGATAATATCTCGTCTGCTTTGGTTAAATTTTTGTTTTTATTTTAAGTTCAGTTTTAGATTGAGTTTTGTTTATTTTAATTTTTTATTTTTTTTAATCTTTAGATTTTTAATTAAATATTTTTATGCACGTTTTTGGATATTGTAAATGGATTTTTGTTGTTGTTGTTGTTGTTATTTGCTATATATAATTTTTTATATATTTTGCTTCATTCTTTCTGTATGTAAAACGTACATTTCTATATAAATTGGTCTTTGTTGTTCTTGTTGTTGTTGTTTTCATATCGAATTCTTTTTCAGTATTTTGTTGTGTAAAAAATAGTAGAAAAACATAAAAATTCGAAAATAAAACAAAATTTTTGGAAATATGGTTTCTGATAGAGTGGCATTTCTACGACTACTTGAGATGTTTGATTTGTATAATTAATTTATTATTATATTAGAGGTTTTTCTTCTTTTTTTTACACGATCGTCCTCACACTGTGTTTATTTGAATAAAATTGTTTAAAATGTTACTTTCCTTGGTCTCAGTGGCTACGAAATGTATCAAAAACGTTTTCATCGAATTCTAAAAGGGAAAGGTGTTCTACAGCTCTATTCAAAATCTACGAAGAGTTAGCCAATTAAAAACCGATTGTTATAAAATGGTTAAGCCCTTTTAAAGTAGTATAGATTGGGGATAGGGGAAGTATGCACCGACGACTCCTTAAACTATATGCCTTCTATGTACGTTGGAAGTTATCCCGTGTTTCAGTCTCTGTCAAAATTTCAAAATATTTTCATCAAAACTCCTCGTGAATTGGCCCTAATTTGCACCGTCTCAATCAATCTGATAAGCGAAAAACTAAAAGCAAACAAATTAGAATGCTTTATTCGAGCAAGGCCTACCATTAGATACCCTACACTATTTCGCCTAATACAGTGATCCACTCAGTTTCTTAATAATAGACATTATTTTTATTCTCATGAAAGCGCTCTCGTTTTGGGATACATAAACGTGAATGTGGTCTAAATTTAGCAAACTTAATTAACTTGTCAAAGACTTTATTATTTTCCAATTGTTTCAGTCATAGCAAGTCGTAAATTAGACTTTGTTACCATAGAAGAGTTTGCTTTCATGAGGGACCCGATAAGCCGTGTGATCTAGAAAATAAACTTATGTGATCCAAATTCCCTACGGTTTATTTAGTTAAGGATCAATTTTCATCACAAAATATTAAGCTGTATAAAGCCCAACGTTTCATTAGAATCCTCATAGGGGTGAGTATCCAAACAAGAGAGCTATGTAGTCCAAGTTTGGTACGGTTAATTTTTATGTCAAATTATTAGTATGAACGAATTTTCATTAAGAAGTATTGAAAATTTGGCCTTTTCACCATACAAAAATTCAGTTTCCGTAGGATCGTTTATACGGTAAGATCTTCAAAAAATTGATCCATCCAATCCAAAATTTTCACAGCAATTCAGATAATTGAAATACTATTACTAAGTGGGTTTTGTCACGAAGTTGTTAAAATTGCAATATTTTTTCATAAAATCACATATCAAAATAAGGCGCTATGGGGAGACAAGCTTAGATTGATTCGAAAAGTGATTCTGACCCGATCAATATAATAAAAGGTGGGTGGGTCTATTTCAAGTTGTTTTCGGTGTTACAGTTGTCTACGCAAACTTAATATAGTTTGTGCCGTAACTGGTGTAGAGTATAAAATCCAATGCGTTCACGCGCCGCGACGCCACTTTTCGGTGAGAGGTGTAAAGGCTATTAAAACTATATGCGAGACAATAACGTAATTTCTATCTGTAACTGCAGAAGTTTACGATTTTCATCTTTTTGTCTAGAAAAAAAAATTTGGGCTCAAATTTTCCCATTATACTGGAAACAACTAATCTTAAAAGGTTATATTAACTTTGGTCGGTTATATACAATATTCAGACGCATTTGAAATAGATCCATCTTGTATTCTATCGATCGAGTCAAAATCACTTTCTGAATCGATTTAAGCTTTTCTGCTCGTCTGACCATCTGTCGTGCAAGCATTTTATTACTTCACCACTTATGGTATATGGTATATTAAGTTTGTACGGATGCATGTAAGACCTTGAAGGACTTCATTTAGACCCACCTTTATAGATCGATTCAGAATGAATTTCCATATTGATCTAAACTTGTCTGTCCGTCTGTCTGTCTGTCCACCAATTTTCAGGTCGCAATTTTTGAGACGTTTTGGTTAAGCTTGGTCCACCGATGTGTTTTACCAACGACGAGCCCCGTTGAAAATGATTCAGATTGGGCACTTTCGTCACAACCTTTCCTCTAATAGCATCTTATATTAAAAAGTCATTTTACGATTAACTGTATTAGGCAAAGTAAGGGCGGGTATTTAATGGTAGGCAGTGGCCCATTATAATGTGTTTACTTTCGGTTTTTCTGTTGTGTCAGGGTTAATTCGAAATTCAACTAAATTGGTGAGTGACTCCGCGCCTTAAATTTCTTAAATTGTTGCGCTTATTAAAACCTCCAGGTAGATTACAAAAACTCGCCTAAATTGTTCTAATAATTCGGCAACAATTCCAAAAAATATTATATACATCAAGTCATACCCAACATTTCAGGGGTATTTATTTGCATTACAAGGTGTTAGGAATTTTTAGATGACTTCTGTATGAGAATGAGTCATTGTTGCGCTTAGGGAAAACTAAGCGGATGGCTTCGACATGGATGGGATGAGACATGTGCACATTTTCTACACATATTTTTCATATAATGTATATGTATATATATATATGTATATATATATAATAGTTTACGTTTCATATTGGTAGCGGTAAGTGCAACAGTGGTGATTGTGTTCAACATCGCAAGTAATAACCTTGAACGTCTTGTGAAAAGTCGCGACTGAAGTAGAAATGAAAAAAGTATTAGGGTTTCGAACCACTGCGTTCATTCGAGAATTGAGAGGTGTTTTTCTATGAGGCCATCTTGGGGCTCAATGGATTTTTTTTTTTTTTGATCAACAGATTGGCCGACACATAGCACATCTCTTCTGTGCACTTCATGCCAAAGGCTTAGCACTCAATGTGCTACATCTGGTGGCCATGGAGATGCCAATGTTCTGTAACAGTGCATCAATTAAAGGGTTGCCTTTACTAAAATCGTCCAAACACCAAAATATCTAAAACAAACCTCGAGCCCCGTTCATCGAATATATGAAAATCGTGACTTTGTTTTTGGTTCGCTAAAAATGTATTGAGTTGATTAGGATAGTTTTTCCGTGAAGTCAGGCCCCAACAACTTTGAGTAGGAGTTAATTTTATTTGTCTTGTTGCGTATGTTTCTTAAATATTTTAAAATTTTTTTTTTTTTTTTTTTGTTTTGTGAAAGAAAACCATTAACAAATCTAATATTCAAGTAGTGAATAGGCTAAAACGGAGCTGGGAGTGGCGCTGCTTCATGTTCCATGTTATTTATGTTAAGATACCGTATTATACGTGAAATAGTTACTATGTATATGCGTATTTGTGCAATTTTTCTGCTTTAATATGTAAATGCAATGAGACTCTGTTCTATTTATTATAAAGAAAC